TAAATATCATATTATCAAATTTATTTTTCTTTGCTCATATTTTATTATATAATTATAAAAATTTTGTATATTTTCAAGATTTGTTATTCTAATTATAAGAAAAATGATTGAAAAATAGTTATAGTTTTATTTTTTTAGAATTTTGTGTTTGAGAGTGGTTTTTAGTGATATTTAAAAAATAATTTGTTTTGACATTCATTTGATAATGATTCTCCTTATAATTTACTGAATAAAATAAACATAATTATCAATATACTATTCGTTTTTGAAACTTTACTGTAATTAAGAATTAGTCAGGTATACTCCAATAAAATTAAATATCTTTGACTAATACATTACAATTTATGTTCACACAAAATCTTAATATAACTTGGAAAGCTTATTGTAACTGAAGAATTATATTGATGTAATATAAATTAATTTTAAAAAATTATATATATGAATATTTTTTATCCTAAAAATAAAAGGGTTAAACTTTTTTGGTAAAAATTGTGTGTGTGTACATGTGTAGACACAATGTTATATTTGTGTATATAATGAATAATGTTATATTGATAGAATTTTTAAAGGGTTTTTTAACACTTTATTAAAAAATTTAATGGTGCATATATTTTTTAAGGGTAAAAAAAAAATACTTTTTAAGGGTAATAAAGTCAATCAATTTTTTATTGAAATTGATACGTAAATATGGAGAATAGATCATTAAAAGAGATACTAGACGTAATTTAGAGATTTTAAATACATAAGGATATAATAAAAATTTAGATATTTAATTATGGAAGGATATAATAGTCTTTGTAATTTTTTATAAGGGTAAAATAATAAATTAAAAATTTTTCATGTTAATGTATTTTTATTAGTAATATATATATAGATAAATATAAATATTTATGTTACATCCTCTTCAATAGTTTAAATTTTTAGAGTAGATGGTTGTTAAACATAGTATCACAGTCGGGTTAATCTTGTTTTCGAATTTCGCAAGCGCCTTAATTATTAAAAATATTTTCGCGTGCCAAGTTCAAAATTTAGCTTGATATTTAAGTTATATCTTTTTCAACAATTTAAATTTTTAGAGTAGATAATTGTTCAATAATTATATTATGGCTCTTAAGACCAGCTTTGTGTGTTTCCGTTGGACGATTTTAGATCTACTGTTGCTTGAGGTCCTCTAAACCAGACCAATGAGGGGAGAGGTGGAGTAGTACGAGGGACACTGTTCTGGCGGCTGCATTAGGGTGATGACACAAGTAGTTAGTTATGTCTATGTCCAAGGTTGATTGATACTGAGATAAAACAGCATAGAATAGAAGTGAAGTACTTTTTTAAGTGGGGAATCATTCGAGTTTGGTGGCATGTGGGTCCGGATCCTCCAATACAATTTCTTCCCTTCAATGTCTGATGTACATTGGTGCGGGTTTCTACCAATAAATAGAGATGTTATTTCTGGAGTTATGGTGGGCAGTTGCTGTCATGGGACAGAGGGTTTGGTGAATTTAATTATTCTTGAGGCAACAGAATAGAAGATGGAATCAACAACGTGGCTAATTCATGTCCACAAAAGCATATGATTAACGGTCCGGGAAAGTTGTTTTAGATGAAGAGTTATGGTGACTCTCATGGAATGGAATGGTGACAACCTCTCCTGTATTTGAATAATAATAGCCAATCCATTTCTTTTTGTGTGGGGTCCTCTAAATTATGGTTTGTCCCATTATCGTCACGCGTCAACTTTAATCTGGGTCCTGTGGCTTTCGAATGTGGTATTGCGATTCACTATCCTTACCAACTGAATGCACTCTATTTTTATTTTTATTTATGTTCAAGGATTGAATAACGTCTCGATAATGGAAAAAGTCCTAGTGATTTGGCCTTGTAGTGGAAAAATAATGGGTAATACCGGGACAAGAAGTTAGGTTTTCAACTGTGTGGTGTGGGACATGCACCAAGATGGTATTCAAATTCAAAAGTTACGTCGTTTTGTACCATTAAATCCAAAAACAGTTCTATCGTGAATAAAAATATCATTACTTTTAGTGGCCTGTTTTTGTATCTTTCTTTGCACACTTCCTGAATATTAACCCCCTCATTGGCTGCATTCATATGAGCCAACACTGAGGGCTTATGCTGCTTATAATAATTTTTGCACAGAGAAGAGAAATAAATACATGTAAGCTTCTATTTGTATTTTTGTATATAAGCTAAACTTTTCCAAACATTTTAAATATGAAAGTCAAATATGATCATTGGATTCAATGGTCAAAACATTAGTTTTTTTTTTTTGGGGGGTGGGGGAGGGGATGATTTGGCAGGCCTGCTGTGCCTAACTTTTTTGGGTTGAAAAGAGCCAACAAGTGCAGCCCATGTTTCTATGCAGTCGTTCTTGCTGTCACATGTCGGGCTAGGTTGGCCAATGGACTAATGGGATGTCGAGCTTTTGGATCAATCCATGGGCTACATACAAGCTTGCTGTTGAGGCTCATCTACAAATACTTGTGATCAGTGAAGTTCGGGTTTTATGCATTGATCCAAGGAATAATAGCTATTGGTGTTAATTCAATTCAAACAGGAACTATCATTGTTGATTTTTAGTCTCTTAGTAACCACACATAGACATAGTATTCATCGCTGACACAGATGATTGCAAAAATAGACATGTTTTTGTTTTGATTTTCTATTAGCCTGCCTGTATTCATCACTTAAAAGTTAAAACCATTATTTATGTTATTTCTTTGTGAAGAACAGTATGTATGCATGCATGCANTAGCCTGCCTGTATTCATCACTTAAAAGTTAAAACCATTATTTATGTTATTTCTTTGTGAAGAACAGTATGTATGCATGCATGCAGCTTTGTTTTGGTAATAGGTTTGATGGTTAGAGGCTGAATGCCAAGGACTACTCGTGTCGAGTTCGACAGAAGATTCAAATGCATCACTGGTACACAACACATACTCCTTACGCTCTATGTTATATATATATGATCGACGCAGCTGCCTAATTCTATATTTACAAGGTGTGTTCTGAAATGCCTGAAAATTTTCTGTCTTCATAAATGCATACATTTGAATTCTCATACACAATTACAACTTACAAACAAAACTTCTAATAATATCGACATGCAGAATGATGTGACAATTATATTTTTCTTAAATACTTTATACGACATTAATTTTTTGTTTGAGATTAAAAACGACACATAATTCAGAATAAAAAAAAATTATCTATTTCATATTCATACCATGTGGAGCATTACATGTGGCTGTTGATGAAGAAGCTACGGTTAGGTCCCGTCTATGTCTAATGTTCCGTTTGATACGATAAAAAAATAGAATGATGTAAAGTTGGAAGGATGAAAAGTTTGAAGAATAAATAAAACATTATATTTGTTAAGAAAGAAAAATATGAAGGATGAAAAAATGGATGGATGAGCTTTCTTTTAAATTCACTAAAATCAATCCCTCCAAAATTAGAAGAAAAGTGGATAAAAAATTAATTATTTGTGTTAAAATATATCTTATATGTCTATATATCATGTGATATATACATTAATTTCATATATAAATACAATGATAAAATATGTATTTATATTTTTTTTAAAAAAATTAAAAATAAACAAATATTTTTTCCATCTTACCAAGCACAAAAAAAAATTAATTATTTTTATTTTTCATCCATCCTACCAAACACAAAGGAATGAAAGTGTATAATTTCTATTTTCTTTCTTTAAAGAATAAAAAGTGTATCCCTCCTACTTTCTATATTTTTTACTTTTCATCTTTCCTACCAAATAGACATAAGAGTTGTAGTAGAGTCAAGCTTGTCAAACTTGAGTATGTACAAGTTTGGCTCAAGCTTCAATTATTATTCAAGCTTTGATTTGGCAGAAATTCACAAGCAGTCAAGTCAAAGCTAAGCTCAATTACTCAACAAAAAATCTCCAATAATTAAGTCCTAAAGTTTAATAGTTAGGTTTAAATAATCAACTTTTTTTTAGAATTTCTCAGAANCTCAAGTCAAAGCTAAGCTCAATTACTCAACAAAAAATCTCCAATAATTAAATCCTAAAGTTTAATAGTTAGGTTTAAATAATCAACTTTTTTTTAGAATTTCTCAGAATCTGTACTGAGATTAAGTAGTGGATATAATCTAGAAATATTTGAGATAAGTTTAAGATTGCTCATCTTGTGAATAATTTTTGTTTGGTTGTAAAATTAGAATTATTATAGATGGAATCCTATTAGAGTAAAGTTAAGCCACAAGTAGTCCCAATTCGTCTCATTTATGAAACCAGGTAGAATTGTATTGATTAGTGTTGGGTCGTGACGACTTGAATGATTGTAAACGAGTTGAGTTGGAGCTGCTTACATTGTTGTTTATTAATTATGCTCATAGAAACAAAAATCTTTGCAGCTAGAGACAAAAAATTCAACAATTTGTTTCAATGCAATTCTCGTGTGCGGTACTATGTATAGTGACTAATCTTAATTTCAAACGGTGGCCCGACTTTCTTCTCTCTTCATTGGTACGTACGTTATGTGGAACCCAGCATCTCTTCACCACGCTACACATCAGGCTATTTGCAAGTTTAGGCATGGACATGACTACTTTTACCTATGGCTATGGTGGCCAAGCCAATTATATATGTATATTGTTGAAAAGTAATAAGGTTATATATCTCATGCAAAGTTGATGGGTGGTGTATCCAACAACTTGTCAAACTTTTTAGCATATAAAGTATTCTGGCAAGTGGCAAGATCTCAATCTTATGAGAATAATTATAGGTAAAAAGACCATATCAGATCACCCAAAACATGTTGTATTCGTAGACAATGGTGGGGAGATGGAAGACATCGTTATTAAGTAAGAATAATTTGGTTGACGAAGTCATATCATCATGAGAACTGCCCATTATTTATGTATAGAATATAACGTATATATCAATCCCATATTATTTGACTTTAAGAGCTGCTACAATATGGTATCTTAAAAGTACGGCTTTTATACCGACAAGTGGAACAAGGGGTCAGACGATGATGACGACGATGATCGAGCAAAACTCCACAGATCTATCTCGCTGCTATAGATTTGGGAGACTTGTTGTGGTCTATTGAGACGTGGGTGTGGTGATTGTACATAATGATCAAGAGTAATACAGAAGTCCTCGTTGGGGTCACCATAGAGGGACTGTTGCTTTGATGTCTCCACTTCACCATTGAGCTGTGAGGCCACCAGATGGTCAAGTGCCCAGTTACTCAACCCATCCTTAGGGTCATCAACCATGTCCATGTTGGAATCATTGCCCTGGATGGTGTAGGAGGGTTCAGTCTCTTCGAGCATATCGTCGACTGAATGCCCACAGGCGTTACTGCCATCCTGATTGAAGTGTGAGTTGTTGTAGGGAAGTGATGGAATGGTCGGACTCTCAAGTCGTGGAAGATGCAAAAATCTAGGGTTAACTCCATCGCTGATGGCTGTGTTGATTGGATTTGCAAAGTGATGAATGTTGTTGTCACTATTCATATTGCTGGCTGTTTCATGTGGCTGTGTGCAAGACTTTCCCATGTAATGAATGATACGATCGAGGACACAATCGTTGCTCGAGTTGTGCAGCTGCGTTCTTGAATCTCTAGAGATCATCGATGAGCTTTGGGGACTCTCTAAGGACCTGTGATAATTTTTCTTTCTGAAAACACGGCAAACGACCCAGCCATCTTCTTGCGTGGACTCTCCCAACAAATTAGAGGCCTAGATACATACCATTATCATCTATCAGCATCATAGTATAAGAACATCATGCAAAAAGTGGCACAGAAATGAAGATGGAAAATCAATAGCAGTCGGTAGTATAACAGGGAAGACAACTGAGAGCAGTCACTTAAGACGTGTGTATGTGTATGTGTTGTGTGTGTGTGTGTGTGGAGAGAGAGAGAGAGAGAGACTTTGAATATTATTCATTGAACTTCAAGAAGATGGCTTACAGTGGCGTCATGAGTGTTGTCGTCTAGCCTATATTCATGCATGATCCAATCGGACTTCTGTCCATGAGGGGCTCGTCCTTTGTAGAATACTAGAGTTTTCCTCATTCCGATTCTTCTATAGCTGCTGTAAATGACCTTATCTCGACCTGTGGCCTTCCAGAATCCGGCGGCAGTCGCGCGATTTGTTCGAGTCCCTGTCGGGTATTTCTTGTCTTTGTGACTGAAGAAATACCAATCATTTTGTGGCGTGGATCCTATTTTGCACTTTTCTACAAAACCCCATGACAAGAGAAGTAAGACTAGTCAAATCTAGTTTATATGCCAAGTTATACAACAAGTGTAAGGCTCTTTACCTTGAATATCCCATGGTTCGAGCTTGTTAAGATCGACATCGCGAATGACATTAAGATCTATCTTCTGATAAGCCACTTTCTTCCTCAAGTAGTAGTGCAGAAGCTCCTCTTCTGTTGGGTGGAATCTAAAGCCTGGAGGAACCTGAGACTGACCATTTACAGACAGATTCATGTCTTCTGACATGAGGTAGTGTAGATCAAATCAAGTATCAAACAAACTGCCCCCTTCCTGGTTCCCACTTCCCACTACTACTCAAATCTCTCCAACAAAAATAATTTTAGTTTTAATTCAATTTCAAGATGGATGAGAGCATGATGGAAATAAATTTGAGTGAGGATAACAAGACAAGCCAGAAGGGAGACGGAGGAGGTAGTATGAGTATAAAGGCTTAAGGCGGCATGATTATATATATGGGTGGTTGCACATGAAGGGTCCAACAATGCATGGAAAGTTTTGGTATCATGGCCATTAGTGTACTTTTGAGTGGGGTCTACGCTTCGAGAAGAACCAACCACCTAAAGCTTGTGTGAGAAACGACAGGGAAGAGTGTAGGTCCCACAATAGGTAGAAAACAGTGGGTCCCAATTATGGGGCCTTAGGATACCATAGTCTGAGCGGGAGGCACGCCTCCATCCAAAACTATGACCCTCGACCTTAAAATCTCAAAGAAAAGCACCCCTGAAACCACCGGTATCCTTATAGAATCTCTCTCTCTCTCTCTCTCTCTCTCTCATTCATTTTACTTGTGCAACCACCTCCAACGACAAGATGGCAAGAGAGAGATGATGGAGTCGGAGACATTGCGCTTTCATGGGGAGGAAAGGCCATGATGAGTGTAACAGAAGCTTATGGCGTCTGGACAAGACTTTTACCTCCTACTTCCATTCTTTTATCCATTAGTACTATTGTAGTATTTAGTAGCAACTAAAGCTAGCGCACAGCATATAAAACTTAGTATAAAACTTAGTTCTCTATGTATTAAAAATTATATCTCAAAACTGACTAGTGCTAAAAGTCACTTATATATTATATGGTTTGCTACAGGCAACCGCTGCTTAGTAACGTAGNACTGACTAGTGCTAAAAGTCACTCATATATTATATGGTTTGCTACAGGCAACCGCTGCTTAGTAACGTAGCTGAAGTCACTGACCAACCTCTATGCTATAACGGGGAATGTTAGTCTTATCTGTATTGATTGAAAATTAAGGAATCCGGAGAATTTGTTAGGTTTATTTTAGGATTGACAATTTCATAACTTATACTTTAGATTCAAAGTTAGAGGGTTCTACAGTTGAACCAATGTCGACCAGCTCACTACACTTGGTCATTGCAGAACATTGTTCTTCTGCTTGGGTGTCGAAATCTAAAAGTGCCTTGAAATTGTAAAAAACAGAAATTTCAACATATGATTCAAATAGTCAAATTAGTGTTCAACGAGACTGATTTAGGACCGATTTAAAAAAATCTAAATTTTTTGGACAAAACCTAAAACATTTTAGGATTGATCTCAGATTTTTGGAGCTAATGCTCCGTTTGATAGGAATGATGGAAAGTAGGAGGATACACTTTCTGTCTTTCAAAGATGAAAAATATGAATGATACATTTTCCTTCCTTTGTATTTGGTTTGATGGATGGAAAATAAAAATGATCAAATTTTTTTTTAATTTTTTTTCTCTAATATTAAGGGTGACAATCGAGTTGCGTTATGTCAGATTCGTGTTAAGTCATAAAATTATGAGTCTTTTATATTTTTTATTCGCATATCAGGTTATTTTTAAGTTCGTGTCAAGTTATAATCAAGTTCGTATCATAAAATTCGTGCCGAGTTCAAGTCGTGTCATCGTGTTAAGTCGAAAATTTTTAACCTTAGTTAAGATGAAAAAAATATTTTTTCTAATTTAAATTTTTTAGTTTTTTATTATATATATATATATATACACATATTTTATCGTTGTATTGTTATATGAACTTAATGTATACATAATATATAAACAAATAAGATATATCTCAACACAAATAATTAACTTTTCATTCATTTTCCTTCCGATTTTGTAGGAATTGATTTTAGTAAGTTGGAAGAAAAGTTAATTTATCAATTTTTTTATCCTTCTTATTTTTCTTTCTTACCAAACATAACGTTTTATTTATCCCCAACTTTCGATCCTTCTAACCTTCTTCAATTTTTTCAACTGAATGGTAGATCATAACTGCAGTTTATGGGGTTGAATTTTTGTTCAATTGTTATTGGTACCACAGATGCCGCCTTTGTGTCTGTGTTACACGGCCTGTGTTGAGAGTTGTGTGTCTCCAAAGCCCAGAATTTTGTTTTCCTTCATTTACAATTAAGATATAAATTCTATTCATTAAGATATAAATTATCTATCGTTTATTGATTGAGTGACTTAATTATAAATAGTAGGCACAGCTTATATTAATTATAAATTATTGAGAAAAAAATATAATTTAATGCGTGCAATTAGGATTAAGTAATATAATAAAGACTTAATTCAATACACTCATTATATTAATTATGAGTTCTCATGGTAAATGAAACTCTCTTTTAATCTAAAAGTTGTCATTGATTAGATCTCTAAATTAAATTCCAACACATTTAGCATCGCCAATAAATGCAACCAAAACTAAGTGCTCGGAAGTTTCCAATATGTTTTGGTTACTGAAATAGAAATAAAGCAGTACAGAACTACTTACGAGGATATGGATACGTATAGTATGTGGTCTGAAGAATTATGTTTAATGTGTTATGGTTTAATTTTGTTTAATAGTTTTGTTTCATATACTAATGTTGCTTTATTTTGGTTTAAAATAATCAGCATATGAATCTAACACAAAAACAATACATAATTAACGGGCTTATGTTTGATAAGCCTTAACGAGTTGAGATAGTAAATGGATAAATTCATTAGACACATAAATTGCATGAATTTGTGTGAATCTGATTAATC